TCCCTTGAAATGGAAGATAAAAACGCTTTCTCATCAGACCCCTTGAATTCACCATTGTCAGCTTTAAGACTTCCCTCTCTGTTGGGATTGGAGGCATACGGTGTGGGGTGGGACCCCAGCTCTGTCATTGTCCCTGCTGTGTCCTTGGTCAGGTGTGTACTTGTGTCAGCCCATCCACATGAGGAGGCACAGGGGCTGGGAAGGGAGGAAAAGTGGGTGGTTTGGGGACATGGTTTTTAGATTCTTGTGTAGTAGCAACATGTTGGGGAAAAACCCTGGTAGGCATGAAGGTTCCTCCTTAGCAAGTATTCTAAGAGATACAGAGGGATTACCTGAAGCTTTTCTTCCCTTACAATGTTAATGCCCTATATTTCTGTTTTTTCCAGGCTTTAGAAGGAGGTCGGTCTGGTGGGGTGGGGTGTGCTGGTCAGAAACTTAAGCTGCATGTGCCTCAGTTTCCCTATTTGTAAAACAGGAGTTTAATGACTGGCTGTAGCTCCAGGGCAATGGGGGCCAGGAATCTTTCTCCCAGCCCGGGTCAAATTACCTTTGAAACCAAAATCAGTCAAAGGGAGAAATAAAGTGGGAGAAACCCATTTATTGCTTACAAGCAGTCGTCCACTTCTGCTTGCCCGTGTCTCTAACCACCCACCTGCAATAAAGGGGCCTCACCAAACTTCTCTGGTCCACTCCCCTCACCCTTGTAACCACCTATTAATAGGGAGATGGACTACTTTTCTTCACCCCTTGGAAACACCTATTGACATGGAGGTACACTAGGGCCAGGCAAGAGATTCTGGAAATATTGCAATTCTACCCACACTAACTTACAGGGTTAGTATAAGAACTGAGCCCAGTGAAGTATGGAAATCCCCAGAAATCACTCCCAAGCACTCTGTTACTTCATTAATCTAACAACTATTTATGGAGGATCTGTGTGTCCTCAGTACCCCAGGCACTTGGGACTACTCTCCTTTACCTGTACACTAATGCTTGCCACACCTTCCCCCAATCTTTGCAATGTCCTTATGAAAGGCAGCAATTGCCATGATCCCTTTTACAGCAGAGTTTTGAAGCATAAACACATTCAGTGAAGAAATAGGGTTATTTATTTCTTCTTTCAAAATAATCTATTTTTTCATAAGAACTGTCTTTCTTAAACCCCCCTCAAACTGGCTGTCATTCCAAGAGATGCAGAGGTAAAATGTCAGGGCTTTGGCTTCAGGAGGTGCTCGCTCCAGAAGTGCTCACACAGGAGGCGTCCCTAGGGGGCACTGCTGAGCTGGGCGCGGGAAGCAGTGTTGATTACAACGCACAGACTGGGTGATGGCCGACCGAGATCTTCCTTCTCAACAGGCCTGTCAGCCCTCTGGCCCTGCCTGTGGGTGGGGTGGGCCTTTATCTACCTGATATGATTTAAGCATGCTGAAATATCTGCCTGCCCCTAAATACCTCCTTTATCAATCTACCTGCAGTGCCATTATTAAAGACACTTCTTTGAGTCAAGACCAAGGTCTTCTAAAGGCTCTTACTAAAGCACATACTTAACATAAATGTGTTGATAAAATTAATTAGCTGTCCTATTGGACTTTGAGAGATCAATTTTTTTTTTTAAAGGAATCGAGGGCTGGAGAGCTTGACTAGCCACAGATTAGCTGGTAGGAGACACTAAGAACCTCCAATGTGTGGGGAAGAGGCTGAGATACGAAAATAAACCTGTTTCAGAGCTTTGAAAAGCCCACCTTAAATGTATCCCTCCTCTCACAGATTTTTGCCCAGGGCTCACTTTTTAAAAATCTGTCATTTACCTTATTTGTTTATTGAAGTAGAGTTGACATAGAATATTATATTGGTTTCAGGTATACACCATAGTGATCTGACAATTATATATATATTACAAAATACCATGGTAAATGTAGTTACCCATGTGTCACCACACAAAGTTATTACAATATTATTGATGAATATTCCCTATTCTGTACTTTTTATCCCTGTGATTTATTTATAATTCAGATGATTTACCCCTTCATGTATTTCACCTATTTGCCCTGCCACATACCTCAGTAACCACCAGTTTTCTTCTCTATATTTATGTGTCTATGTCTGTTTTGTTTTATTTTTTTAGATTTCCCATGTAAGTGAAATCATATGGTATTTGTCACTTTCTAAAACTGCTGGCTTCTGTCTTGCTATATCCCCAAGGAGAGCTCACCTCCATTTTCTAGTTTCACCCTGAAACTATCAATTAGATAATCTCAAGATCTTTTTCCAGCTGATAGTCTTGCTTTATCTCTACAGCCCTCACATCCTGCTTCTATCATTCCTATATCCTATTTTATCACCCAAAGAAAGGAAAGAGAAGGACGCAGCTGACTTCTGGGGGATATTCCAGGAAGACAGCAAGGAAGAGACCAGAGAGAGAGGGAGAGGTCAGGAAATGAGAGTGAGCGAGACTGTGGAGATGTAGGATTTAGCCCAGCAGCCCTTGGCCTGCTCTGTTTCTGCCTCACAGGCCGTTCTACCTGCAGGATTTCTTAAGCACTGTTACACAGAAGCCCCGTGTTCCTTAAGCACCTTGAGGGAAATGCAGTGAACCTTTGAAAAAGCATCCAAATCTTCAGCATTGTAGTAACGATAAAATTATGCCACAGCTTTTTCCTTCATCTCTGGCAAAATGTTTGTAAATACCTTTCCTTAAAAAAATGGTTATTGCTCGGTGCTCCAGAGCCTCCAGACATTAAGGAGACAGAGCCCTAAAGCAGGGGCATGAACTCAGTGGCCTTTAGGGGTGGGGCAGGAACCTGCAAACCCATCAGCATGCCTGTGCAGGCCATTGTACCAAAATGCAGGTCCCAGAGTGCTAGATTCACTTTTTACCTTTTGAAAAACTAGTAAGATATCTCTATATTTTTGTGAAATCTCTATTTTTAAACATTGGCAGTTGATTAACGAACAAACAAACCAAAATGAAGAAATCCTTGTGCTGGCCACCTGCAGTGTGCTGTCCCTGGTCCACAGCAGCTGTGCCGGGGGCCTCAGTCTCAGTGTGGCAGAGCTGGTTCTCGGTGGGCACTGCCGGAGTTTGAGGGAGTCCTCAGCCCACACCAGGGGCAGCTCCCACCTGCAGGGCCAGGGTGCCCACACAGGCAACTTGAATTGGGCAGATCAAATGTTTCAGATCGATCGACCCCACTGTGCTTGTATAAACATGACATTTTGCCTTCTTCTAGGCTTCATTTAAATCGAATTAACAGATAAGTTTAACATAATACTTTGAACATTATTTCAGTTCTCACTATGGTTATATCTAAACCTAAAAACAGTAAATGAACAAAAACCCTCATTGTATACTGGTTAACCTTCAGCCTTCTATTAAGCACCAAGGAATGAGCTGTTAGATTTCTAAGGAATAACTCCTTTTTTCCTTTCACCCAATTTCCTTAATTGCTAATTCTTTTTCAAATTCTTAGGTATCTCCAACTCTTTCCCCCAAAGTCCACAAGGTATAATGAGATTGCATTTCAAGGGAAAACGAGTTATATATTTCTTTCTTTCCTTTATAATTAATTATACACAAATATCATATGATATATAACATGCTACATAAGTTATCAAAAAATTGTGGTTAATTTTTACACCTTTTTGTAAATGATGATTTTAAATGTTTTTATAATAATCAGTGTTTACTTGGGATTCATGATGGTGTTAGGAAGAGGAGAACATCCTTGAGTGATCTTTAATCACACATGAAAATCATAATTGTATGTGCAGTGCACCAGCCTCAGCCCTTCATATATGCTCAAAACATATTTTTTATTGAATACAAGCAAATAATGATGAGAAAGAAATGTTAGAAATGATTGTTTCAGAATGAAAAGCTATACCCTCTAAGAAGTAAAAATAAACCTGTATAGTTCATCATCTGTGTTCATGAATCTCTCAAATGGACAATTAAACTTCAGGAGATTAGAGCAGGAGCTGGCCTTATTTATCATCTAGCCAATAATTCCAGTTCAGCCTTCTTCATTTTTGCCACATCAAGGTACCTGAACTCAGTATTTTTCTCTAAGTCAGTTCTCTATTTTAATCATTTATATCACCAGTCTGAGTGAAGAACTAGTATCGTTAGCAACATACAGTATTGTTAAATTTTTAGTTAATGTTGGTTCATTCCCGGAGTCTAAGATGTGTTCTTCTTTTGTTAGAAAGATTCTGAAGGCTTAGAAATGGTAAAGCCTTGTTTCCATTGAAAGAAGATTTTTTTTCTTGATAGAAGCAAAAGAATTGAAGGAGGATTAAAGAGGGTTAAGCTTTCTATGTTATTGGAAGGTGTAGTACGTCTGTTTGTCCCATATTTGGGAAATTCTGATCTAGTCTAACTTCCCCATTTTCCAGATGAGCAAAGGGAGGCAGAGAGCTGAACAATAATTTACCAGTTGTAGAAACATGATACAGGCCCACATGACAGCATTCTTTACCCCACCCTGGAATGGTGATGCCTAATCTCTCTAGACAGATAAACTGAAGTCCCGAGGCAAAATCCAGGTAGAAGTGGGGAAGTGCTGGGCACTGAGGTAGTGAACCTGGCAGTGGTGCGGATGGGGCATTATGGAGGCTATGGGAGAGGGAACTTACTTACCATCTGGTAGCCATTGCCAGGGAAGGGAAATGACTTGTCCAAGGTCTCAGGGCCTCTCAGTGGCAGAGGGAGAGGCACACCATCTCTGCCTTTCTAGCCTGCATTCTTTACATGCACTACTCCAGTCTTCCAGCTCTGATATCCCCGCCTGTTAGTCAAATCTAAAATGGTATTCATACTGTACATATGAGGGCATCGGCCTTAAAAATGTATTGCTATTGTTATTTGTCCCAGCAAGAATCCATCTTTCTCCCTGTGCAGCTGCCCCTGTGTCTTGCCTGGGGCTGGTAACTCATGCCCAGCCCAAGGAGCCAGCTCGCACGATTGTGACTCCGGCGGCCGCCACCACCCCGGGACTCACCGCGAATCGCTTCCCACAGCTCTCGTTGCCGCAGCACCCACAGCAGTCATTGTTCTTCAAGCCCAAGAACACCAGCGCAGGGAAGATCATCTGCCAGCAAGAGAAGCACCTCAGAGGGGGTCCTGCGTGGGAACGGCGACCCTGAGCCTGCCTGGCTGTGTGAGGAGCTGCACCGGGACGTGGGACTTGGGGGGCGCGGGCAGAGCAGCAACGAACAGGGCACAGCTGCTCAGTGGTATCAAGCTTTTAGGTTTCATTTGGCCTCGCTGCAGTGAGGCAAGATTTCAGGATCTGACACCCTGAGTTTCCGTTTACATTGGTGGCATAGGGTAAGGATAAGAACATGTCCCCGAGTCTCATGAAAAGTGAATCTCTCTCTCTCTCTAAACTGGAGATTCTCAACCTCTATTAGCAATAAGGGGTTAATAAATCATTAGTGCAGGCGTGGAACAGACATCCATTGACAACTGCTTCTCTTGGTGGTTTTCGGTCAATTTGCTAGAAAGTGTGTGTCCAGCCCTCTCTCCACCCACCCCAGCACTATCTTGTTAGAATAAAGAAGTTATGTGGCCCTCAGTTTGGTCCATGGAATTCAACTGACCCATGAGAACAGCTAGCCCAAGCTTAAGGATTCGCCACTTAGTACACTTAGTGGACGTGCCCTTGTCAGGTCCTAAAGGAGAAAGGGGAAAACTGAGGCACTGGCTTTTTATCCTGGCATGCCTGGGCTCTTGCTAGCGACTAAGTATCTTCCCACACAGTAAGTACCCAGGTTTGAAAGGATGGGGTGAAAATCTCCTTCAGGGGGATTTTAAGGCTCCCCTACTCACCAAGACCCCGCTTCCTAATATTCCTCCGAAAAACCAGACCTCATCAGACAGGTAGTCGTTGTTGTCTATCACTTTTCCTCCAGGGAAAAATAGCAGGATGTTAGCCAAGAAGCCAAACACGGAGAGGGGAATGAGGGTGGCCCCCAGGCACTTGGCGCAGCCCCCGGTGCACATGCTGGGCAGGCGCAGTGCAGGTCCCCTCGCTACCTCCTTCACAGAATCTCTTAAAAGTTGTCCGTCAGAGCGTCACTGTAACCGTCCACAGTTCAGTCCGTATTTTGGAGCTGAGAAGCAACTCAGGCTGCGAACTGTGTCCTTGGACTTGATTCAGCCTCTCAAAAAGAGCAGAACCCCGATAGCGATGGGCATTTATGCATTCTCCCTGAGCTGGAGTCCTTGGTGGTTTTTTTTGCACCCCCATAAATGAGATTACCTTCAGAGCAATCATCTTGCCATGGAGACCAACAACCTCTGTTAATAATCCACCAGCACAGACAAGACACATTGCTGCAATCAAACACAGAGCTGGAACAAACAGGGCTTAGAACCACTGCACCTCTAATCTGACAATGCCCCTGCCCGGATGAGGAAATATTTCTCCCAGGCTCTTCATAAAGCGCTGTGTAATTGAGTTACATCCTAGCCAAAATCGTTATCCCCCAAGTACTTAATGGTCTACAAGAGCGTGTCTTTGTTTTTTCTGCTGAGAGCCTGGGATGCAAGAGATACCAAAAGAGCTCGTTTCCCTCAATACAAAAGTAACAATTTGATGGTCTAGTTGGGTGTCTCTGAGCTCCAGTCTATAGGAATTTTTAAAATAGATAAATTCAGAATAACTATTCATTTTATTGCCTAATACATTTCTGTACTTGTTACTCCATTAAGTCCTGTCTCCTTCCCTATCTGGTGTGGCAGTATTAGCAAAAGCAGTTTTCCCAGTCAACTCAATTACATCTCCCATGCAGGAATAAAACGCTTTACCTTGACAATGGGTCAGGGGAAAGGAAGGTCAGCCTTGGGCAGAGGAGAGGAAGGATATTGATGAATTGACTGGAGGCAGAGAGGACAAATTTGGAAGAGCAGTTAGAGTGTAGGTGACAGTCAGATGAACCTCTGCTGGAAATTTTGCCAAATGACAGGGGTGTGATTCAATTATAATTTGCTTTGTGTCACTTAAGAAACTCTGACTAGACCAAGTTCTGCATTCTGCAGCGAGGCTGCCTGGAAGTGGTGATATGTAATGGCTGAAGGACTCTGGGGTGGAACAGGGAGCCTGCTGGTTCCTCGTTGAGTCTAGAGGTTAGGATTAAGAACAGTAGGTAGAATTTTCTAGGGAATCTATTTTAGCTAAGTAAAAAGTTAATATCATTATCATAATGAGACCTGTTCTACAGTGGAGTCAGCCACCTGCTCCCAGGGAAGCTGTGGGTAAGATTCCAGAGAAGTCAGATTGGATGCACGCCAAGGTTTGTTCTGAAGAGTCTGTGAAAGATACTTTCTGAGACGTCAGGGTGGGGGTGAGAAGAAAAACTGCAAATGCTCATTAAGCATGCATAATATACTAAGCACAAATAGCCCTTTAGATGCCCCTTACCCTCCTGAGAACAAGGTCATTCTGCCCCCTCGACAAGCGGAGACACTCAGGCTCAGAGAGGTTGAGTACATTTTGCAAGGACATTCCAGAGTAATGACATGAGGAGCTAAGATTTTAAATCAAGATACTGTGTCCCCAAAACCTGGGTGAGGGTGTGTCCCAATAGGTTTTCCCTTTTAGAAATTAGAAAGGATTATCTTTTCAATGTAAACAATAGAATGACATTATGTGCAAAGCATAGGAATACAGTGGAATGTACTTCCTTTTGAACAACAGGCAATTGTGATTTTTTTCTTATTACAAAATAATGTGGGTTTTTGTTGTTGTTGTTGTTGTTGTTGTTGCAAAAAAGATATCCAGATAAGCAGAAGGAAGAAGGAAAACCAGCCATGTTCCCACTGCCAGCAGGTACGGACTGTTATCACCTTGCTGGCAGCTGTTTTCCAGCACCCCACCCAGGTGCTTATGAGCTTTCTTTGTAATGCGCTTTGGCAGGGAGTCCTGACAGTAACCCCACAGAGGAAGACAAAGTTTCTAAGTATGTGGGGGTTGAGTTGATCGTGTAGACACCACCTTGGAGTTAGGCACTTCCCTTTTGGGGACTGGGCAGTCTTTTTCTTTCTTCAGGGCCTGTAGCCCTGGAAGTTGCCATCACGGTGTTCAACTAACACTGGCCGACACAGCTCTGCTGTCCTAGACTTTGCAGACTAGCCCCTGGAGTTGCCAATCTACATACCATCTGGTGAATAGATGCATGTAAAGGATGCTGTGGACCCTACTTCAGTTTTCTCCCATGATTTTTAAGAAGATGTGGTATGTGAGTAACTGTGAGGAGAGGCTCGAGGTCATTAATTTCATGTGCGGAGAAGGGGAAACACTGGCAGGCAGTCACCCCTCTCTAATGCCCTAACCACCTGAGAATGCAAATGCCTGGAGGGTGACTAACTCATTTATTGTTCAATAGGAACTTCAGACCTTTCAGCAGGAAGTGGGACACCTCATTTGGAGATAGGGGATGGTAAAATTCATGCTCAGGAAGGGGTGGAGTCATCAACAAGCCATCCTGGGCACCAGAGAAAATGTGACAATCTGGCAACTGTTCTTGTGAAGCCCACCCTTGATGATTGGTTGTTCACTGTCTGTGTAGCAGTGAAGCTCTTAAACCAAAAAGGCTAGAGCCTGTCTTTTCAGAGGCACTGAGAAGGAAGTGGCTGAGTCCCTCTTTGGATCCAGTCCAGTAAGAAGACCTCACCTTCTGCGAGCTTTGACAACAGGAGATGAAGCAGCAGAGGGCCAGGGCTTCCTCCCTGTGATGTGGGCACTCTATTCCTGATTCAGGGAACTCTGGCATGGGAGGTGATTTCCAGGTGACTCTGCTCACCTGCTGGGGGCATGCACAAAATGTAGGGGACACTTACAGCTATTTCTACCCTGCTGAACTTCTTTGCCCTGCAACCGATAAAGAATCTCGAATTCAGGGCGATACAATGCAATCAACAAGTGTGTTTGAAGTACCCATAGCGTGTCCCCTGATGTGCCAAGTGCTGTCCTAGTGATAAACAAATCTGATTTATTTTCGGCCCTCGGTGGCATTACAACCTCCTCCTTAGCAGCAGAACTAGGGACAGGCTCCTCAGCTTGTCTTACAATAGATCACTCTCATTTGTTCATCCAGCACTTCAGGAGGAAGATGAGGGCCCTTAAAACACTCATTCCGATTTTATGAAGTTCCCCATACTCGCTTGCTTGAATTATTAGAACAGTTCTTAAAAGCGATTTTCAAAAGGAGGAAAAAATATATATATATTGGGTAGTAATGTGACATGTTTTATTTATTATAGGTTTCTAATAAAATAAAGGTCAAATCATTTAGTAAGAGTGATTTTTATACAAGATGAACTAATGATCTGTATAAAATGTGAATCTGATCTTTTATGCTATTGCTTAAAGCTCTCAGGGGGCTCCCACGGCCCTCAGACCTTAACCCAGGCTCCTCTGATTGTGTCAGGCTGGCAGTCTTCCTGCTTCCTTCCCTCGTCCTTTCACCTGCTTCCGGCTTCCACTCCCCAAGCACTCGGATCAGCAGTCACTCCTTCCAAGGAGCCTTGTTTTACAAGAAAAGTATTTCACAGTCAAAATATGTCTGTGAAAATCTAGGTAACACACTGTTAAATAGATTTTTGAATGGCATAACTTTTTAGGGCCTTTAATTTGTAATGTCACTTGGCATTATTGACGAACACTTAGGAAATATAGTGTCGAGTGTTTCCCAAACTTCAGTGTTGACAGAGCTCTTCTTCTGCAGTCCATCTTGAGGGGCTGGGATTCCCCAGCACATCCTTTGGGAAACTTGGAGCTTGCTCATTTCTCAAGTGCTTGTGATGGGATCTGTGTTGGCAGAGAGAAGGCAAGTGGTCACTTAAGGCAAAGGAAGTATGACACGAGTTCAAAAGTTGAAGAAAGGATGCAGTGTGGTTGGGGAAATTGTGAGGAACTGTAGGCATGCCGAAGGTGGTGAGCAGGGGACAGGGTTGGGAGCCAGCTTGGCCTCCACTAACCTGAAGAATGAGAAATACCTGGCCTCAGGGAGGGAACAGCTAATAGTACGTGGAGCAATGAACTTGAATGCTTCATGACCAGCTCCATCATGCTGTCATTTCAACTTGAGTGCTCCAAAAGGGGCTACTGGCCTGGTAGAGGCTGATGACAAAAGCACCAAATGGCCTGGAGAACTAGACGACGTGGAGCCCACTCTCAGACTTCTCTACCACTGCATCTGACCGGGGTTGTCATCTAAGCCCAGTAGGAGCCAACATTCACAGAGCACTTGCTATATGCCAGGCGCTGGTCTAAGGGCCATATGGTACTCCACCAATCTAATCCTCAGAGCACTCCAGTAAGCAAGTATTGTGATAATTGTCCCTATTTTAGAGATGAGGAAGCCAAAACAATTAGAAAGTGTTGTCCTGGTTATTGATGTATCCAAAAAGCACTTGAAACTTCACATTTGAAATGACAACCATTTTAGTACATATTATAATTTTGTGGGTCAGGAGTTTGGAGAGAGGTCAACTGGGTGATTCTTCTGTCCTCAGGAGCACCGGTTGGGGTTGTTCACTCTTGTTCAGTGGGGGCCACATCGCATTGTTTTGCCTGGTGCCTTGATGGGGCGGGCTGCAAGCCGGGGCTCAGCGGGGCCCCTTCCTCCCTCTGTAGTCTCAGGGCTCTCCATGTGGTCTCGGCTGCAGTGTAGTCAGATGTACATGGTGGCTCAAGGGTCCAAGAGGTAAGAGGTAGAAGCTGCCAGTTTCTTAAGGCCTGAGTCACAGACAGGGACTGGTTACATTTTTTATATTCCCTTGATCGGAACTGTCAAAGAATTTGTGGCTGTTTTAACCCACCACAGTGGTGGAGGTCAGATCTGAACCCAGGGAGTCTGGCTCCAGAGACCATCATCCTAACTACCACAATGTAATGCCTCAGTCCCCCAAAACTGGCATCTACTCTTCAATCAACACAGAGGGCTGCCTGCATACATTTAGCTTCAAATCCTTTTTCCGCCACAGGCTGAATACTCTGGTTACTTCCATTTTATATGGGGAGACACAGCCTGGGTTAAGATTTGCCTTTGGGAACTTGCAGGCACCACCAACACCAAAAAGTCAGTATCTCCAGTTGTTTGCGAAGTCAGAATGAGCAAATGCATGCCCTGCCTCGTGACCCGAAGTGGTGATGAGGCCCCTCTAACACAGGTCTCAGTACAGAAGGGCACGGCTTGACCTCCTGCAGAGGCGAGAGCCCTGGCTGAGAAACCTCTCCCAAGAGATCTGC